GAGCTGCATTCTTCCCATCCATGGACATGGAATTTTTTCATTTGTTTGTGTTATGTATGATTTCTTTCAGCAGTGCTTTATAGTTCTCCCTGTAGGGATGTTGTATATTCTCCCTTTCGTCTCCTTGATTATATGTATTCCTAGTTATTTTTTTCCATGGCTATTGTAAATGGGATTCCATTTTTGATTTGACTCTCAGATTGAACATTATTGATGTATACAAATGCTACTGATTTTGTACATTGTTAAATGGCTATACTGCCCAAAGCAATCTACAGATTCAGCACTGTTCCTTTCAAACTATGAATGCTGTTTTTCACAGAATTAGAAAAACCTATTCTAAAATTCATATAAAGCCAAAAGAGAGCTCAAATAGCTAAAGCAATCCTAAACAAAAAGAACAAAGCTGGAGGCATCACATTACCTGCCTTTAAGCTATACTATAATGCTACAATAATCAAAACAGCATGATACTGACACAAAAACAGACACATAGACCAATGAAACAGGATAGAGAACCCAGAAATAAAGCTGTACACTTACAGCCATTTAATTGTTGACAATGTCAACAAAAATGAGCAACGGAGAAAGAACTCTTTATTAAATAAATGGTGCTGGGATAGCTGGCTAGCCATGTGCAGAAGAATGAAACTGGACCTCTATCTTTCACCATCTGCAAAAATTAACTCAAGATGGATTAAAGATTTAAATGTAAAGCCTCAAATATAAGAATCCTGGAAAAAAACATAGGAAACACCATTCTGGACACTGGTCTTGGGAAAGAGTTTATGACCAAGTTCTTAACAAGAATTGCAACGAAACTAAAAGTTGACAAATGGGACTTAGTTAAACTAAAGAGCCTCTTCACAGCAAAAGGAACTTTCAACAGAGCAAACAGACAACCTACTCAATGGGAGAAGATATCTGTAAATTATCTGACAAGGTCTAATATCCTGAATCTAAAAGAAACTTAAACAACATAACAAGCAAAAACCAAACAATCACATTAAAAGGTGGGCAAAAGATATGAACAGACACTTCTCAAAAGAAGACATAGAAGTGGCCAAAAAAACGTGAAAAAGTGTTCAACATCACTAATCGCCACAGAAATATAAATCAAAACCACCATGAGATCTCACACCAGTTAGAATGGCTATTATTTAAAAAGTCAAAAACCAACAGTTGCTGCCAAGGCTGTGGAGAAAAGAGAATGTTTATACACAGTTGATGGGAATATAAATTAGTTCAGTCATTGTGGAAAGCAATTTGGAGATTTCTAAAAGAACTTAAAATGGAGCTACCATTTCACACTCACACAGCAATTCCATTACTGAGTATATATGCAAAAGAAAATAGATTATTTTACCAAAGAGACACATCCACTTGTATGTTCATTGCTGTGTTATTCACAATAGCAAAGTCATGGAATCAACCTAGGTGCCCATCAACAGTGGATTGGATAAAGAAAATGTGGCACATATACACCATGGAATGCTACACAGCCAGAAAAAAGAATTAAATCATGTTCTTTGGAGTAACATGGATGGAGCTGGAAGCCACTACCCTAAGCAAATTAATGTGAGAACAGAAAACTACATACCACATGTTTTCACTTACAAATGGGCGCTGAAAATTTGGGTACTCATGGACATAAAGATGGCAACAATAGACACAGGTGAGTAATAGAGGGGGGAGTGACAGAGGTGGGTATGGGTTGAAAAACTACCTATTGGTTACTATACTCACTATCTGGGTAATGGACTCATTCATATTCCAAGCCTCAGCATCGCACAACACACCCATGTAACAAACCTACAAGTGTATACCCCTGTATTAGTCTGTTCTTGCATTGCTATAAAGAACTACCTGAGACTGGGTAATTTATAAAGAAAAGAGGTTTCAATGACTCACAGTTCCAGAGGCTGTACAGGAAGCATGGCTGGGAAGGCCTCAGGAAACTTACACTTATGGCAGAAGGCAAAAAGGAAGCAGGCACATCTTCACATGGCAGAGCAGGAGAGAGAGCGAAGGTGGAAGTGCTACACACTTTTAAACAACCAGATCTTGTGAGAACTCACTCACTATCATGAGAACAGCAAGGGGGAAGTCTGCCCCCAAGATCCAATCTCCTCCCACCAGGCCCCTCCTCCAACACTGAGGATTACAATTCCACATGAGATTTGATGGGGACACAGAACCAAACCATATCAACTCCTGAATCTAAAAAAATGTTGAAATTATAGAAAAGAAAAAAATAATAAAAAATTTAAGAAAGAAAAGTGAGCTGCAAAGCTTACTTAACCAAGAAGGGCACAATCCACCGTACATACCTCAGGTTTGATCATAGAGAAGAGTATTAAAAAAAGGATAATTCTACAGATGGCAGAACAATGAATAGCAAAATTAAAAGGAGTTCCTTTCAGAGAACAGAATTAACACTTTAAAAGGAACTTCTACCACTTCTGGTATATTGGAGTGGGAAGACTGTGGCTTCACAATGCCTGCCCAGTTGGATTTCAGAGTACTAAGGCCTAGTGGCTTCCATGTGTCACCATTATCTTCCTTTGAACATGGTAGTTTTGATTTAGCTCTCCTGTACCTGCATTGTCATTGGTTGCTGGATAACAGGAAGAAATGGCCCATTTGTTTGTTTCATAATTTGCTGAACAAAAGGAGCCATAGGAAGACACGATGGACAGAATTTCATGTTATCTAGAGATCCTAGATTTTGAGCTGGCGGGGACCATAAGGTTTTTTTTTTTCTTAGGGGTTTGTGTTCCGCTTATGAGACAAAAGGAACAGATGGATATTTGAGAACAAGAAGGCTATTCAGTGACTGAAGCTTGAGAAGCTCACCCAAATCTGTGTCTTCCTCTTATTTCTGAGCACACCAGAAACTACATTTCTTAACTTTGTGAGATTGACAGGGCTATGTGACCAAGTTCTACACAAGTCAATAAGAACTGAGGGATGCGTGCCGTTTCTTGTTCCAAGTGGGTAAGTGCAGGGGCACCTTTATATTCAGTCTATTTCCCTGTTCTTGTGCTTGGATTTATAGGGCACAGCACTCAGAGATGGTGAGACATATGAAGGAAGGACTGTCTCTTCATGACTCTGTGTAACAGAGAGTTTACTAACCCATATTGGACTTTTATATGAGTGCAAAGTAACCTTTACTCGATGAAGCCCCAACAACATAGCGGGTATTGTTATAGTAGCTAATCTGTGCTGACTAGCATGATTACAACACTTTTTTTTCTGCTTGGCTAATTGGTTTGGTGCTAGGAGGCACTTATATTTGGATATGATGTTAGATTTTACCTACTAATTAAACAAGAAAACCCTTAGGGTAATACAACTTTTAGGGTAAACATTTTTCATATAGGCTTTGTAATTTTAAATAATGCAATGAAGTAAAAATGCCATGATCAAAAGTATCACAATTTCTTGAGTTACATCAATGACATGTAATTGTTTTATTATTTCATTTTCCATCTTAAGAAAAAGAATCTGTTTTATACTACTGCAGAAAACCTTGCTTTGTTTCCCAGTTACATGCAAAAGTAACCTATATTTCCATCAATATAAACATATATGCACATGTATATGAATACACTGTTGATAATTCTATCTTGTTTAATTTGACTGGAAACATGTTGATACTACAGGGAGATGAGTGAGGGTGGGTTTTACTGTTCTCACTTCCGTGGTTCGCACCTGTGTGAGAGAAAGTCTCCAAACTGGATCAGCTTTTGTGCATTACTCTGTGAGGACTCCAGATCTCGTGTGTGTTGTTGTATATGTGTGTATGTGTGTTTGAATGAGGGGTTGGGTAGGGAGTGAAGTACATCCCTCCAGGGCACTGCAAATGCCCCTGGCAAGCACCTTAAATCTCCCTTATTCTGTTTCTGGTCCAGAGTTGGCACTCAGAGACTAGAAATGATTAATTGAGATAAAGAGCGAAGTCTGTGCGTCTTTGGAAATCTAGGTTGTAGGTATCAGAGAGAAATTAGTGAGAAGGAGCGGGTTAGCATATGTAGAAACATTACTTGAAATACACAGCAATTGGCTGATAAGTTAGCAGTCTAAAAGTCAGATTTGGAGGGAAGGCATTCAGGATTAGTGAGTCAGAGTCAGCTTAGACAGGTGCTAACTAAACTCTGGCATGACTCATCAAGTTGCAAGAGGAGAGCCCTGCTCCAGCCCTGGATGCCCAAAGCAACAGCCTCCAGGTGGCATTGCACAACTTCCCATAGGCAGCCCAGGAATGCTTGTGGGGGCAGCCCCTCACCCTCCTAATGTGAGTATCAGATGCCTTCTGGACAAAGCCCTTTTTCACCAACCCATCTCTGTGTACAGCTCCTGCTTCACGAGGGAAAGGAATGAAGTTGTAGAGTCAATGACACACAGTCAAAAGTGGAACTGAAAGTGAATTTAATGGGGGCATAAGGGAGCTGAATCATTTGCTTTGATCTTAAGTCTCTCTTCAGATGAATTCTGAGCAGCTGAAAACTAGCTCTGGTACTAAGACCTTCAGCTTCATTCAGAGACTCAGAGTGTATAGGAAATAAAGCTTCATAGCACATTCTTTTTTGGTGGAGGCAGAATGCTAATTGCAAGGCAAATGGGACTCATACGCAGAATGAGATAGGGGATTCAGCATCTGGTGGCTGGCTCCTCAAGGGCATGGCGGTGGACCACATTACTTCTGCTTGGTCTTCTGCTGGGCTGGTGCTGGAGTGACCGTTGAAGGGCAGGGCTCAGGCACCTTGGGGTGGCAGGGCTCCGGAACCTTGGGCTGGCAGGGTTCAGGCACTTTGGGGTGGCAGGGCTCAGGCACCTTGGGGAGGCAGGGCTCCTTGGTTTTGGGGATGCATGGTTCCTGGGGTGGAGGCTGGCAAGGCTGTTTCACCTGCTGCTGCTGAAGCTGAGGGGGTGGGGTGCAGGGCTGCTTCTGCTGCTGGGAACTCATGCTTCAACAGTGGCTGGTCCTAGAGATAGAACAGATGATTTCAACAGAGAATAACTAGGGAATAAGCCATGGTGAATACCACTTCAAGTCTCTTAAAAAGCAAATGTTCTTCCCCCTTCTTGACCACAAAGAATACTTGATTAATTTCTGAGCCTTGGAAGAAGAGGAACTCAAAGATGATTTGCTCTTGCTCCACTGGAGCAAGGCCTCACCTGGTGCTCTCTTTCTTCCTACCCAGCACAATAACAGGCTTCTAGCAGGAATATGAGACTCATAACACTGGATCATTGGAAATGTGAGGCTATTTGAAAAAAACCCTAATAAATTAAATCTACCCACTCATTTCCAATAAATATCATAGCTTACCATCTATGATATAACTCCGACCTCTCTAGAACACTACACAATCCCACCTCTGGCCTAGCTCAAGTGCTCATCTGTCTTAAATGTTTTCTTTGTTCCTGCTCATTCAAGCACTAACGAAACACCACAAATCACTTCATATGGGACTTTTAGGGGCTTCTCTAGAGAAAACCTTCCATAAATCTCTGTATTCCCAAACTATTACAGAACTTGCCCTAATCACCTGGCACTGATGTTACTATTATACATTGCATTTTAGCTCTTATTTCCTGATTAAATTGTAGTATCATAGAGTACATTTTCTGCTGTTTAAATTATTTCTTTGCAACCAAATTGCCAAATATAGTAAGTTCTCACAAAAGTATTTGTTGAAAGAATAAAATTCTCTGTATTAAAATTATAAATAAGAAGGAATTATAATGTCAGGGAAAGTGCTGTGGACCTGGGTTCTAGTCCTTATTCTATGACAAATTTACTATGGATCCTTGAATAAACCAACCTCCTTCTTGCTGACACAGAAAGAGTGAATGAAGAAGAACTGATAATGTCTAAAGTCTCTTCAAGCCCACAGTATGATTACTTTTAAAATGAAGATATTCCTAGAGGTTATAATTCAGTTGAACAGTCTGCATGGCTATGACCAAATTCAATAATGAGGAAAAGAAATACCAAGAAGGCCAAGGAGACTCTAATAAAAATTAAATACATAGAATGGATGCTAAAGAGTTCCAAGTAAAGAGACTGACCTGGTGTGCAGAGAGGAATACTCCGTTTGATCCCTTGGAACTGGCGTAGTGTTCCCAGCCAACTGGCTCTTTTATGCAGGGAGCAAGCCCTGCCTCAAGGAAACAGGATCTATCTGGGCTGCTGTGCCTACATTCCTTACCTGTCAGACATGATTCACCCCTCTTCCCTTATCCACCTGTTGACTCACTTTTGTGATGAAACCTGTGGCACTTGCTGTCTGACAAGGATGTCACCTGGGCTTTATCCCCCTGAGCACCCTTTGCTCCCAGGTGTAGTGTTTACAGGGAGGGTGGTGTGGGCTGAAAGAGAGAGAAGGAAGACATTCTGGGGCTGCTGGAACCAGAAACAGTCCTATCTTCTGCAAGAGTCTAATCCTCAGCACAGGTGACACTTGTAGGCCTGTTTAATATTTGAAGTGAATGTAGACATAAACAACAGGTATTTCTGGTTCTTCTGGAAGGCCAAAGGCATGGTGACCAGGTGAAAAATAGTAATATTCTGTTAATCCATCACTCAGTATACTCTTGCCTGACAGGGGAAAGGAGAAACTAAAATGATTCTTTTGGTTCTAAAAAGCCTTTTCTCCAAGGAGGAACTCAGGGTAAATAGCATAAGGGCAGGCTAACCTCTTTCTATGAGGAGAGTTCTGAGCAGTGAAACTCTGGGAAGAATGGTCACATTCAGAAGCTCTAGAGCAACTTGGCCCTTTTAGTCCATCCGTTTATTCTGTCCATTGTGACAGCAGGCCCTGAAGACCCTGGTTTTCATGGGGAATCCCTTCTCTGCAGCCAACATGGGAAGGAACAAAGGAGCTGGGATTCCCTGAGCCCTTATATCAAAGTTCACTCTCCTCAAGATAAGATGAAATTTAGGTCACTAATCCAGGCCTACCTGCAGTATACAACCTGTTGCAAGTGTGGTTTTTGGAGAACCCAAAATATCCTTCAAATCCAGGTGTTGGATGGTCACTCCCTCACTATTTTCACTCATCTAAATGTTTGTAGAACACCTGCTGGCTGCACAGCTGTGTCACCTCTCATGAACTTCAGCCCAGGACCAGCCAGCTACCACCAGAGGTTCCTCTGCTTAGCCACTGTTCTACCTTCCATTTTCACATGATGCCTGGTGTGTAGTAGCTGCTCAGAGAATTGACAATTATAGAATAAATGAATGAATGAATGGAAGGATGGAGAGATGGATGGATGATATTATTTGCAAAGAGACATCAGAGGCTGTTTTGAGAATACCAGGAAATTTTTTATAGGGGAAATCCTTCCTTGCGGCAGGCCCTATGGTGTAAGCTGAGAAAAGCTGTAAGAGCTTAGCAAGAGAGAGATGTTTCTGTCATTTTACCCACTATGATTTGGCTGTGTTCCCACCCAGCTCTCATTTTGAATTCCCACATGTTGTGGGAGGGACTTGGTGGGAGGTAATTGAATCATGGGAGGAGGTCTTTCCCGTGCTGTTCTCGTGATAGTGAATAAGTCTCAAGATAGCTGATGGTTTTGAAAAAGAGGAGTTCTCCTGTACAAGCTCTCTCTTTGCCTACTGCCATCCATGTAATATGTGATGTGCTTCTCCTTGCCTTCTGTCATGATTGTGAGGCCTCTCCAGCCATGTGGAACTCTAAGTCCATTAAACTTCTTTTTGTTGTAAATTGCCCAGTCCCTGTTTTGTCTTTGTCAGCAGCATGAAAATGGACGAATACATCCACATATCTATTTCTCTCTCTCCTTGTTTAAGTAGTCACTTCACTTTGGTCTGTGGCCACTGTCATCACCATGCCTCTTGCATCAGTTGAGCTCTTTTCCAGACTTGCACAAGCCTCTCCTCAAACCTGCTCCCTGTAGACCCTACAAAGGGAATTATAAGCACACTTTGTTTGCAATATGGTGGGATTATCAGGCCCAAGGCAACCTGCTTCCTGCTTCTCGGTCCTCCATGCCACCAGGGCCAGGACTTGGCTGTCCTGAACCTCAGCTCTGAGGCTCGGCCCCTGCCTCCCATGTCTTTCCTAGACCCATATGTCTTGGGGGAACTTTCATTCAGGATGCTCTGTAGGTGTTGACTTGATGCACTCACTTGACATATCTCCTCTCCCTCAGTCAGCGCTATTCTCAGTCTAGCTTCTAGACTTTCTCATTTTACTCTTCTGCTGTTTTTTCTAAATTACATTGAATAGCTAGGTGTAAAGACCCCCCAGCTGCTTTTTTTTTTCACTATACAAGAAAGCTCAGTTTCCTCATCAGTAGTGCTGGATCAGCCATGGATTTACTGGGAAGCCATATGGCTGCTGATTGCAACTAATGTATCCCCATAGTCCTCTGACTTTTATGTCTGTCCTTCTCAGGATGAAAGAACACTGCTCATTGTTTTTATTAACATCAAAGCCTGACCTTTCTTGGACTTGCTGATTAATTGTACTTGACACCTCATGGATCTCCTTGCAAATTCTCTCTGCCCTGCCTTTTATCCGTACACAGTCATATGGCTCTTTTCACGTAGGCTTGGATGGGCTTTGTGCAGAAGATACCTGATAAAGTTGCTCTGCAGGACCATACTGCATACCTCTCTCTTCTTGATCTGGGGCTCCTATGATCCTGCAGTGCAGGGCACTCATGGAATGCTTGTGTGTGTACCACTGGGATGTGTGGAGTAGTCAATACATATGGGCACAGATTTGACAAATGATGATAGTGAGGGAAAGTGAAAGAAGACAATGGATAAATACTTCCCGCCTTCATCTCCAGGACAGAAAGTTCTGAGACTACTTCTTAAAGATCATCAGAAAGTCCCATCCATGGATTTTTTTATGGTTGCATAGTATTCCATGATGTTTGTATATGAATCACATTTTCTTTATTCAGTTCACTGTTGCTGAGCATCTTCATTGATTTCACATCTTCGCTAAAATATATTCTTTGTGCAATATAGATGAAGCTGAAGGCCATTATCCTGAGTGAACTAATGCAAGAATAAACCAAATACTGCATGTTCTTACTTATAAGTGGGAGCAAAGCATTGAATACACATGGACACAAAGGTTGGAGGTTGGACAATAGACACTCAGGAGTGCTTAGGGGGAGGTGGAAGATGGGAATGTGTTGGAAGTTTACCCGTCAGATACTGTGCTCACAACTTGGGTGATGGAAATCATTTGTACAGCAACCCTGAGCAAGATGTTATTTACCCATGGAACAAGCCTGCATGTGTGCCTCTGGAATGAAGAAGAAGAAGAAGAGGAGGAGGAAGAAGAAGAAGAGGAGGAGGAGGA